TAACTGCTTTGGTGGGTGGACTCTATGGCATTCTATCCAGTTGAGGCCTCTTCCCTCCCCAAACTCTGGCTTCCATAGACTCCACCACAAAACATCTGTCCCTTTAACATATTTTACACACGTTACTTCAAACTCATGTTTCTGCAGCCTAGAGGAAAGCAGTATAAGTGAAAACAAAACCTTAAGGTGCCAATGCATACAGGGTCACCAAACTAGGAAATGGATGTCAGGATCCCCCTTCTAATGTACTCTAATATTACTCTGGGACCCAATCTAAACAGTAAAGATCTCAAAATTCAGATATGAATAAAATGGGAACATCACAGACATTTTATCTGCATTATAGTTGTGGGTGATGGTTATAGAATTGTTTGCAGCCATATAAACCAAACATTTTGGTAATAGGCTCACATTGTCTCTCTGACACACAGTTTGAAGGAATCACAACATTAGTTTGTATAGTATGATTTTAAATTTTGCATTAATGTGTACTAGTATACACCCGAATAACTCACCAGAATATTTTCCCTAAGACTTTGAGAGCCAAACAATGTGTTCAAAAGTATCAGATGGCTCAGCCCTCCTATGGCTCCCCTGATTTGCCAAGTTATACAGCATGTTTGAATAATTCTCCATAAAAATATCTTTCTCCATGAGAGAAATGTTTTAGCCTGGACTTCTGTGATAGTTTATTGCAGGGGTCCCCAGACTTTTTGAGCCTTCAAGCACCTTTGGAATTCTGACACAGGGTGGTGGGCACAACGACAAAATGGGCGCTGCAGAAAGTGGAGCCCATCATACAATGGCTGCTGTAGGGGGTGGAGCTAACCACAAAACGTCAGGGATCAAGGTTATATATAACTTTAATAGTAGCTCTACAACAACTCAGGCAGAAACTCTGTTTAACAGGGTGCCATTTAATCTATGCAGTCAGTCAGAAGCTCTGCTGAGTAAAGCCCCACCCACTTTCTAAAAGCACTTCGCGGGTGCCAGGAAAGGTGTCGATGGGCTCCATGGCAACTCTGGGCACCACGCTGAGAACAAATGGCTTTTATTGTCTGCAGTGGACTGTGTACATGTGTGTGAGCAGAATGAACATGTCAACTTGACTCTCACACTTTCTAAATAAGCTGACAGACTCTTGTCTCTCCTTGCTACACTACAGCCCTGTTCACAAGTTACAGCGAATGCATGTACAATCCACGCACAGTGTACGTTTGACTGTTGCCATGTTACATTCAACACATGTACGGGTTAACATGTGGTTGAAAGCCCACATTTACCCTGGTACTGGCTCCTAGTTTCATTTATAAACCGAAGACACGTTGGCTCTGTCTTACTAACAGGTATATGCATGTACATACAGTTTGTACAAGCACTGACTGTAGTATGTGAACAGAGCTTATGCATACCATGTGTAGGTTACTATGTAGCTAGCAAATATGTTCTCAGGAAAAACTTAGTGGAACAAGGTGCCTTATTTCAAGTACTGTCATATAATATCTGGGTTTTTTTCTTCCTTCCTCATGTTAATGAGCCACTAATCAGATAGTGGAAGCCTGGAGCTGCTCAGGCTTTCAAGGACCAAGTTGTGTTAGAGAAACAAAACAGATCACAAGCTTGCAGGTTTCATTAAACGCAGCACATGCATTACAGGTCATTATTACTACTGCTATGTATATACGGACCATAACATAGACAACCCTTGTTATAGAGAGTAAAATGGCAACAGTTGTGCATATGCTACAAATGAGGTGCAAAACCACAGATCTAGTGGATCATTTAAACTTGCCAAAAATTATTAATGGTCCCCAAGGATGATGTAGAGGGACTGAGAAACATTAGATACCATACAAGAAAGAGATGAAAGTGGACAAAAAAATTTGAATAGTATTTCAGTTTTATGTGCTGTGTAGAAGTAATTGAAACAGATCGATACTATCCCAACTAAATGTTTTGGGGTTTTTTTTCTAGGGGAAAAGCAGCCCCTGATGCCACATCTCAAAATCCCCAAAGAAAGCCTCACTAGTTTCCATGCAACACCATGGGAGGGAGGGGCTGAGAGGCACACACCTGAAGCTTCCTTGGGTATGTGGAAATAATTGCTGTTGGGTTGATCTCAAGCTCTAATAGGTACATGCACACACAACCACTTCTCATACAGCAAGTTGCAATGACCTCATCAGCTGGGAAAAGAATCAGATTTCCCCAGGGAGACTATATTGCTGCCTGAAAGAATAGAATCTCCCTTATAAATAAAAGCCGAATGGTGGTGGCACTTCTCTAGAACATTCCACACGCTCCAAAATCAGTTTGCTCTCTGATCTGTCATTCAGAGGGTCTCCCTATCCACAGGCTGCTTTGCCTGAGTCCTGCCTCCAACATTCTAAAGTTTGCTGTTCCTCTCCCCCCCATAGCCAGTCAGAACACAGAGGTTATTTGCATATGCAGCCTCATTGGCCTTTGCCTCGGAACACAGAGGTCGTTTGCATATGTGACTTGATTGGCTTTTGCCTCTAACATTCTAAACAGTTTGCTGTTCTGTGGTGAAATGTGTCCTATCTCCAGGTGAGGGCTGGAGATCCCTCAGAATTACAACTGCTTTCCAGATGGCAGAGATCAGTTCCCCTGGAGAAAATGGTGGGCTCTGTATCCTAATATACTGCTGAGGTGGCTCCCATATGACAGCCAATGTGACATAGCAGTCAGGGCTTCAGAGCGTGGGAGTGGCTGCAGGTGTGTGGGGGGTGGAAAGCTGAAGAGTGGAGGAAAATAAAGATAGGTTGATGATTGGCTGGGAAGGAGATAGGGTTGTCAAGTCCAGGTGGGGAATTCCTGGAGATGTGAGGGATGGAGCCTGGAGAGGGTGAGGTTTCAGGAGGCGTGGGACCTTGGACAGGTACAAAGCCATAGACTCTACCCTCCAAACCAACTATTCCCTTCTGGGGAACCATCGTTGCCAATCTCCAGGTGAGGGCTGGAGATCACTCAAAATTACAGTTGTTCTTTAGGTAGCAGAGATCAGTTCCTCTGGAGAAAATGGTGGACTCAGTGTCATTATACCCTGCTGAGATCGTCACAGCAAATTGACACTGAGTGTCCAAGGCCGGGGCACTTGCCCAGAGCATCTTTCTAGAGGCCGTTGTATTTATTTCCACAACGGGCCTTTTTCCTAGTAAGTAATATTACAGTACAAAAAGAACTTCCTTTCAAGTAAACGTCTGGATTCCTCAGAAGAAAGAACAACTGCACTGTTCTGTCAGGAAATGTCCTGTATTTGCCACTGATGGGAATAACAGTTCAGTGGTTGAAAATCTGTCCACATATATGAGCCCTGCATAAAAAACAGTCAGAGACAGCTTTTCAGATCCAAACTTATTTTTCTGCTTACAATGAAAATTGTTTTAGTGCTTGTAAGAGTTTTGTTTAAATGGAAACAAAATAGAATAAACCATTCTTACTGAATACACTGATGAGAAGCATAACTTGTTGAAAGGGCAAACAGCTTTGAGCTAGGAAAGTGAGGTGATTCAAGATAGCAGGGCATGATAAAGGTGGAAACCGACTGTCCAGGGTCCTGGTTTCTAGTTCTAGTGATGCTGTGTAAATGTAGCATATTCCATGGCTTAGCCTTAGCCTTTCCACAACTATCTAATTGGTCTGTTCCTATGGCAAAATCCCTGTGGTAGGCCTGGTTTTATGTTTACAAAATAATGGAGCTTTTCCACATTCTCCTTTTTTCTCACTTGTAAGTTCCTGCGTCTTCGGGCATATTTTTCCCGTTCCACATGTTTTGCTTCCTCTAGTGGTTGATTTGATATTACACCAGTTCATCTCCAGCATCAAAACCTACAGTTTAAATTTGCAGGGCGATAGGCTGGAGTGGTGGCTCAAGTAGTTAAGATGCTGATCTGCAGACCGGAAGGACTGCTCCCATCTCTGGTCCCAGCTCCTGCCAACCTAGCAATTCGAAAGCAAGAAATTGCAAGTAGATAAATAGGTACCGCTTCGGTGGGAAGGTAACAGTATTCCGTGCACCTCGGTGTCTAGTCATGCCGGCCACATGACCATGGAAATGTCTTCGGACAGCACTGGCTCTTCGGCTTGGAAACGGAGATGAGCCCTGCATCCCTAGAGTTGGATTCGCCTGGCTTTCAAGCAAGGGAAACCTTTACCTTTACTAGGCTGGACATAAACTGGTGAAATAGCAAATCAACCATTAGAGAGAGCAAAACATGTGCGGAACAGAAAAGAATCCCTGAAGAAACAGGACTTTTTTTGTGCCGTCAAGTCACAGCTGACGTAGGGCGACCCCATGGGATTCTCAAGGCAAGAGACGTTTCAGAGGTCGTTTGCCATTGCATGCCTCTGTGTCATGATGCTCGTATTCCTTGGAGGCCTCCCATCCAAATGCTAGCCAGGGCTGACCCTGCTTAGCTTCTGAGATCTGATGAGATTGGGCTAGCCTGGGCTATCCAGGTCAGGGGAATTCCAAGCAAGGAAAATGACAAATGCGGGAAAGCCCTTGGCTGTACGGCAATGCAATAATAGGAGATCAAAAGTATGTTGTGTGCTTCTCCTCTCCACTCTTTCAGGCATTCCCCCCCACCCCAAGTTTGCAACCATGGCTAGACTAACCAGACCTAGAGAAAACACTGGTGCAAGACATAATGCTAACTATAGTAACTAAAAAGCCATGTAAGAGAAAAAGAGAATGAAGAGTGTACAAGTATGTGGGATGTTCATGAGCTCATAAACAGTTAGGAGACTGAACAGTTTTATGTCTGTCCTGATCCTTATAGTATGTCAACTCCTTACCATGCACATCTCTTTTAATTACTACCCTATTGAGTCAGATGGAATAAAACAGCAGATAGAATACAACAGGCTATTTTCTGCCTTTGAATTACAAGAAAGAAGCAGGAAGGCCATTTCAGATAACAGGCTCCATGAATGGGTCACAATAAGTGTTAATACATGTACTTATCACAAATCCCTACCTCATGTCCTCTGTCTTGCACAGGACATGACTCACTGTCTGCTTCAGAGAACGATCCAGACTCATCGCTGGAGTTTGTTCCATAGGATGGCTCACATTTTATCTGGGGTCTGACTTGGTTGTACATTCCATCTCCCATCACACCTGGCTCCTGATGCTCAGGGGCCAGGAATCGAGCTCCTTGGGAACAGGGGGAAGATGAAAACTCACACAGAGGGAGGCTGCAGGGAGAGCCACCACTGCCATCCTCTGCATAAGAGTAGGAGGAACATGAACTAGAGGTCCTTGTTCTGGTTTCCAGAGGAGGAGAACGAGGGCAAACTTTAATTGGCACTGGGCAGCTGGTGTTAGGCCGCATTCGTCCTGGCAAGTGATCAGCTGCCTGTCCAATGTGAGAATAGGTCTGGCAACTGGGAAGAGATTGGCTACTTCCTGCCCATAGACCCTTTGGCACAGTCTCGGCGAGATCTTTGTCCAAGCTGCTCACGCCAGAATATGAATGCACTGAAGTGTTTACTTGGTCACAAATGTTTGAAGAAAATATAACACTCCTTCTGTCCACCTCACCTTCCTGCTTACAGAGACCTTCAACAAAGCTAGGACCCCTGAGAGGCGATCCCACTGTAAAATTGGAAGCATCCTTCTGAACAGCTTGGGACAGTCCATAAGTCCCCGTGAAAGGGACATAATCAGCTTTGTGGTCACCCTGAGTTGTCCCCTTGTCAAAAGGGCAGGCTGGACTCCTGGCAAAGTGCTGTTGGGAAGTACTGGGGAAGCCAACTAAGTCTATGTTTTTTGTTCGATTGAAGAAAGACCTTAGGCAGGAAGGAGAGGAACCACTTTTAGACCCGTCAGCTCCAGTAGGACTTGGCTGCTTTCGGTCCATTTCTACATCCCCCTCTTTATCCCTGATGTCAGGCTCATCTCCAGAGAGGCAAAGCGTGATGTTTTCTTCATCATTCTCCTCACTCCTAGGCTCACTTTTTATTTGCCCTACAGCAAGCTCTGGCTTGAGGCTGTCACCAGAACTTTCTTCACTGAATGTGCTTGTGAAACCTGAGGTACTAACGTGTGATGTATTGTAGACATTCTTGGTACAAGCCAGCTGGTATTTCTTGTATCTGGGATACCGCGTTACTGCTTCTTTGTCCAAACTGTCCTTGTCATCTCTTAGCAGGTCAGAGTCAGGCAGCATCCCCTCCTCTTTATCTGCTTCAGAACTGACGGTTTCAAAGTTAAAGGGCTCTGGGTGTGTTCTCTCCCTTGGACAAGATATCTTGGAAGTCTCAGATTCCATAGTCTCTACCTCTTCTTCCTCGGAATTCTCATCTTCGTGCATCCGCTGATAGGTGGGATCCTTTTTGCACAGGAACAGGCCGTCCTCATTGTTCAGCAGCTGAGTCTGAAGGAAGCTGAAGCAGGAATCCTCCAGGTTGTGCATGCGCAAGAACTCTGCACAGTGGATGACCTCTTGTATGTTTTCTCTGCTGAGTAACAGCTTCGCAGTGTAGGCAAACTGTAACAATGGACCAAATCCCCTTGCAGTGACCTGCAAAAAAACACAGGGAAATTGCCAGCATTACCATCAGCACTGCTATTGTCCCAAGCCCCTCAAGTGTAGTTAAATAACTTGACAGTTCTAATGTCCATAAATACCACAGTGCACAAGTTAATCTTTCATCAAGTCATCATTGAAGTTACTTCCAGCAATTAATGCTGCTTGCTGTATTGCTGCCTGCACACTTCATATTAGAGGATTATTTAAACATTACTTCTAACAAATGATTGACAGTATGATGAACTCTTTAGCATCTGCCAAATGCCATTCACCCTATTAACAAACACTCATGGGTGCTGCTAAATTCTCAATGGATGCATAATCCTATCACTTCTACTGTACTTCTACAAATTAGGCAGGATGCACCCTGCGCTATAAGAATCACGTCAATTATACACATTTAATAAACATTTTATTTTGTTACCAAAAGGCTTACAGGGTTTAGAAAAAATGGATATATGTTTATAAGCACTTGAGGACAGGACTACCCCCCTTCTGAGACAGCGAAAACATTCAATAGTAATAGTGAGAAGCAGGGATATTGGAGGGAAGGGCATGTAATCTAACCTGAATAAGGAGCAGAGGTAATAAGACAGGGGGCAGTAAGCATGGGAGAATCTCATGAAACTCTAGCCCATCATACCAGGACCGTTGAATCTCTGGATAGATTTAGATTGTGAGGAGCTATGCAGTAGCTGGTTAGAAGTCCTTAACTACCACACAGTTCTCTAGCAGCATGAAAAGCTGATTACGGCTTCCAACCACAGAGTTCAATGCCAATTTTCTGCTATGAAGAAATAATAACACTTGTTTAACTATGTTGTTAGAAATTACAGGAGACTGCTTTTTACATATGGCCCATTATTGGAATTCACCCTCAAACCATCTCCCTCCCTGGAATCTTGGCGGGCACTGGGAACAATCCATATGCTTTCCAAGCAGTTTCTTCAACCATGAATATGCTAGGAGTGTGAGATTTGTTAAAAATGAACATGAATATTAAAAATGAAAGCAAACACCCTTGGGATGAGGGCATCCAAAAACCTGTCAGATTTTGCTCCAATTTAAGTAGGAAGTCCATTCATATACTCTTACAGTCCCCTGGAAGAGGCAAATAATAATTTATTTGATAATCCATACCTCTATATTATTACATTATCAGGATTCAGATGGCTTGGGGGTGTGTGTCTCTGCTAACTGTTGTTCTTAATATTACAACCTTACATTGTTTGTCCAATACCTCACCATTACAAGTCTTATGGTTTACATACACATTTCCCCCCAACATGCACTAATACATTTTGGATGTTAAACAATTGGAATATACAGAATTCACTAAGGGTGGGTATTTCTCTTATGTTATTACAACTATTAGTTAATGCATATTTATTCTGTGAATAGTTCTGGATCAGGCATGTTGCCCTGATATTAACTGTGACCTAAATACCAATCTCCACCTAGCATGATCTTTGATGTAACAAATAACTTTGAAAGTAGAATACACACATACTATCCAATTGCTTTCTGATTTCAGCTGGTCCAAATAAAAGTATTAAGCTCTGGCCCACAATCCTGGATTCTGGATTTTGCCTAAATACAGAACCCACAGAAAGTAAAGTTGTTGTGGAAATTATGATCAAACACAGCCACTAGGTGGGAGAACTGCAAAGCTAGTTGATGGCAAAACCACGCATTTCAACAAAAATGCTTTTGGAGTAGTCTAGGCAAAAAAAACCCCAACACAAAAACAAAACCAATGACTCATAACATTCCAAAGGAACTTCACAAGCTGAGTCAAGGTTCTCATCCCCGCAAAACAGCACTACTCTGGACATCTGCTATGAAAGTCTCCCTCCTCGAGAGGCTATCACATGCAGAACTCTTAATGTTGTTGACATAGCACCACAAACAGCTGCTTGCTTTAAAAACATACCTCAAAAACCCAGGAAAAAAGCTAGGTGGGGAGATAAGAGGACTAAATCAGTATGGATCATCAGTGACACCACATATCCTACACTGGGAACAACACAGCAGTAATTTACAATAGGCACTGATGAGCAGTGCTACATTTTGAAGTACTATAACAGCCGTTACTTGTAAATTTAAAAAGATGCCCTCAGGGAGGAGTCTTAGAAGCATTTCAGATCAGCGCTAATGTTTCAAATACATAAACAGCAACTTTCATGATGAATGCGAGCCGGGCTGGCTGGCAAGTGGGGAAACCGGCAGAATCTCCGTAGCCTGAAGCTGTCTAAATATTGATTTGGCCTTTATTGTGGGTCTACCATCATGCTGCCTTTGGAACTGCTTGTATTTAATTCGCCATGACAAGAAAGCAGATATCCAGGGGACTGTAAAGTGGTTATAAATATTGCACATTTTTGGAGATGAAGGTTTAAAAGCTGCATATATTACAGTTACACACGCACTCCTCTGTAAGTTGGTAATTTTTTTTCTCCAGGAGAAACTTTAAGTAGGCTACTAAATAGCACTGCGACAGTATAACCAAGAGGAATATAATGAACACGACGATATTCTGCAGCACTTATGAGGGAAGTAAAATAGCAGTATTAAAATTTATATTCAGAAGAATGCTAATTTGTCAACATGCAACATAAAACAGAGCTTTCCAGCTCACACTTTAACCTAGCATTTCAGCATGTGAAGCATCCAATTTAAACCCAGAGTTGAACACATACATATAGGCATCTAACCTCACAAACCAGCTGAAATCCAGGCAACCAATATCCATCCAAGTAGTCTACGGATTGAGGCAATCTTAGGAGCTGTATGAACTGTATGAACATTTGCACCTTATGAAAGGAACCAATTCTGTCCCTTTTTCCTGAGGTGGCGAGAGCTCTGGCCCACATTCCTGGAAAACTGTGAGACATCTGTTTTCATGTTAGCTAGATGAGTGTGAGAAGGGCTTCTCATCTGACCTTACAAAGCCATTGCTGACCCCATGGAATACCATGGAGTACCAATGGTCCTCAGGCCCCAGTTTGAGAAACACGGTGTTAAATTTAAAAAATATATATAAGTGAAGCAAAAGGACACCCCTGCAGCAATAACCTCCTTCAGTTCACTGTACTTCTCTATCCCATTTGGTGCCTTTCCTGTTGATGCAAGGGGGCCTTGTCCACACACAGAGTAAACCAATGTAGCTTCTTGGAAATTTACTAGTTAACATATATAAGGGATGGATATTTATTTAACAACAATGCAAGCTACAACAAATACTTTCAAGGAGATGTACAGGCTGTAGGTTTTAGAATTCCCCAAAAGAATGTATTCAAGTTCACAATGTCTGTGCGCCTTTCCCCCACGGGTTCTTTTTGTAGCAGGAACTCCTTTGCATATTAGGCAACACACCCCTAATGTAGCCAGTCCCCCAAGAGCTTACAGTAGCCCCTGTAAGAAGAGCTCTGTAAGCTCTTGGAGGATTGGCTACATTAGGGGTGTGTCGCCTAATATGCAAAGGACTTCCTGCTACAAAAAGAGCCCAACCTATTAGCTCATGGACTGGATGTGTACTACCTTTGTTATAAGGCTTACCACAGTGTATTAAAACAAAGCTTCATTATAAAATTATCATGCCACATGCAGTCTTAGCTGTGGCTACCTCTGGCCCCACATACGGGTGTGTGTGTGTGTGCTGGAGGCCCTGACAGCCAAGCTACCCTGATTGCCAGATACCACTGCCATCATGACTACAGAGGCAATGACAATGAATATGGTGTCATACAGGCAGTAGCTGGGGCAATGAAATGTATAAGCAGGTGGAGGAGGGCCCCAACCTTCATACAACAGAGCTGCCTGAGATCTGCCCCCCTCGACTGTTGTACAATTGGTTGCTGAAGCCACCCCACCTACTATACTCAGTCATTGTTGAGTCCCACCTTGACTTTTGCTCACAGCTCCAAAATCACTTTACATGCCCTTGAACTGCATATAAAGTGGACTTCCACCCATTCAGAACTCCATCCACATTCACTTCCATGAGTGTGCAATACATTGGGATGCTTTTCTTCCCAGAAACGTTCATGATGCTAGTGCTGTTGCAATGATGGGACCAGTGTTCCCTCTAAGATGAGTTAGCATGAGTTTTTTAGCCTCCGGCTCACACATTTTTGTCTTAGCTCAGGAAGGATGGCTCCAGAGCAAACTAATTTATGCAGTAGCAAATTGCTCGCTTGCAACTTTAATGCCAGTAGCGCACAAAGTAGATTTTTTGCTCACAAGACTCCACAGCTTAGGGGGAGCATTGGATGTGACCCATAATTCCAACAGCACACATGGCCATTTATCCAGAGTACTAGTGGTGTAGTCCTAAGCACAGCTACACCATTCTAAACCCACTGACTTTAAAAGCATGCAATTCTGTTTAAGAGTGAAATATAAACCATCTAAAGTCCAGAGCAGATATAGAAATTAAGTAGGGTTTAGGACCAGGCCAGGGGTCATATACTCAACTCTTCTTTGTTCATCAGCTCTCACACATTTCTCCTGACTACTCATGCTCAATATGACAACCATTTGGATTTTTAAATTCAGAGGCATCACCACATTGGCAACGAGGGATGTGCAAAAAGAAAAATCAGTATTTTTCAGGTTTGGGTATGGTATCGTCTGATATTCCTGAATCCTAGCACTGGCACGTTATTTGGATTTTGGAAATATTCAGGAAAGCCATTTTTTTCCAGCTCCATTATGCCCTATGGGGATTATTATAGTCAATGGTCCCCATAGGGTATAATGGGGAAGCAATTTGAGGGTATCTGGGGCTCTGGCAGGGCTGTTTTTTGAGGTAGAGGCACCAAATTTGCAGCATAGCTGCTGGTGCCTCATCTCAAACCCCTCCCCCCAAGTTTAAAAAGATTGAAGAAGGGGGTCCAATTCTATGGGCCCCCAAAGAAGGTGCCCCCATCATCTATAGGTTTCAGTGGAGAGAAAAAGTGTTTAAAGGAATCACAGTCCCTTTAAACACC